CAAATGCATTGACAGATCACCCACTGTTTCCATTGTGTTAGCACTTTGAAAGAGATCAGGCAGAAAGATAGACAATTTGTTTTTGTATATTTTTTAAATAGTGGATCAGGTTTTTAACAGCTGACTGACTGTATTATACTTGTATAAGGAGGTCAACAGTAGCTGATTTTAAAATCCTACTGTAGAGACACCTACTTATATATGCATCATCCTCAAATGTGCACTTTAGCTCTACAGTGTTTATGCTCACAGTATAATATGTATCTGAACACCTCAAACTATCCGTACTTCAAAATGATATAAAAAACTGCAGTACAAGAGAGTGACTCTTCTATTCACTGCAGCTTAATAACAGTGAACAAATGATTCTTCAAGAGAAAAATATGAAAGTATTAATAATATGTTCAGGAAAATAATCTGAAGTTTTTGTAACCTATTTTAATGCCAGTAAATGCACGGATGTATGCACAAATTAAGCTCCCATGTGAGCATAATCAAACCCATTTTACTATGAAAATTCTGCTGAACATAGCAATGGCACCAAATAAAACACAGAATGGTAAACACCACCCAAAAACATCAGCTATGTAACATTTCATAATGTGCTGCAAACTGAGAAACTATAAAAATAGATCCTACTAACTACTCCTCTTATCAATAAGAAAATATTTTCACTTTTAAGAGGAAATAAAATCCTAATGAATAATCCCCCCATATACACCATCCAAATTTAGACTACCTTGTAGCAGAATAATAAAGCAATGGCTTTTCCAATAAAAATCTATCAGAATAAAAACATGCATTACTGAAAGCCTGACTGAAACAGTCTGTTTCCTGGGTAGCCTGAAAAGAAGTCAGATAGGAAGTAGAAAAATTCCAACATTTCCTGGAAATAAAATAAATGTGGGTGGTTCTTGTAAAATGTACCTCCACACAAGGGCTCAATACAAGACTTTATCTATAAATTTCTTTAAAGTTTGTTAACAACTGCTTTTCTTTCCACCCTGGAAGGGCTTATCTAGGTTACAGTCAGTTAGCTGCATCTATCACCACAGGGCTCAAAACAGGTCTCTCTCCAACAAACCTGCTAAGTTAGTTAGCACAACAATCACCTCCGACACAAAATCCTGTGGTTTTTCCCCCCACCCGTCATTCAATTACACTTCTCAATATAAGCAGGGGTCAGAAACATCTCAGGTATAAATGCAGGCATCCTGCATGGCTTAAATGGAAACTAACTTCATGGTCCTGGAGATTCATACAGTAGACTGAAACAGTCCTATATGTTCAAGAATGTTAAATTAACTTCCCCTCCACCTCCTTCATACATGACATTGCTATTTAGAGTCCATCAGCCATACCTTGTTGCCCTTACATTAAACACACTAATTTCTATAGAGAAAAAGCATTTAAGGAACATAGCCATTTAGCTTTTGCATAGTGAGCTCTACTTTCAATAATCTTCTTGTGTCTTTTCTTGCTGCCATGCATATAAACCCATTGCTATTTGTTTTAATATTTATCGTGACGTTTAAAAGCTTTGCAATTTTTCAGTTCCACCCTTTGACTACGATCAAGGCTTCTGTCAATTGCTTATAAACACTTTTTGTTCCTAACACATTTCTTTTTAGGTGCTGCTTCATCAAGTAAGGCTTCAAGACTACTGCAACATTCTTTCTCTTCTCTTAAAATCCAAGGGCTTGACAATTTTCCATTGACTTCAACAAAACAATGCAAAGCTTTTCAGACATTCTGGTTCTCATATTATTCAGCATATTTGACTTCACACATTCTCAACTGCTGTTTTAAAATACAAAAACTTCTTTATGCTAGTAGTCCTCTCACACATTCTGCAAAAGAACCAGGACAGTTCAGGTAACTGTAGTGAAAGAAATCACAAACTGATATCCTGAGAAAAATGGACAAATGCAGCAGAGAGAGGATGCTATTGTTCAAATACGGTTTTGCAGCGGCTGCTCCGAACTAAGCAGGTCAGAGTACCTATTACTTTCTGGTGAAAAAATACTGTGCTAATATGAGGAGCTGCAAACTGTTAGATTTAATTCATGTTCCATCTAGCGTCAAATTAGTTTATTCTGACAGGATTCAGGTTACGTTTGTTGTGCCATCATTTTTTGACAAGACCCAGTTTAGAAAAACTTTGACATAGGTACATTATGCAGTGGGATGTTTGGGCAGTAAACAATGATCAAACCATGAAACACCACTCCATTTCTCAAATGATACAGTCTCATTTCATCTTTTTTTCTACTTGTGAGAGGAAGGGAATAGAATAAAAGTTAAGGTTACAACTCAAAATGTTCCTAGGTGGGCCTAGAAAATTACAAAACAAAGACCACGTGTGGTGGGTTTGCCCTTGGCTGGGGGCCAAACCACACATCCACTCACACAACCCGCTACCCGTGCCCCCCCCATCCGAGGATAGGGGAGAGAATTAAAGGGGTAAAGGGAAAAAAGGACTCATGGGTTGAGATAAGAACAATTTAATAGCTAAACTACAATAATATTGGAAATAATAGTATATACAAATATACAAATGAGTGATACACAGTGATACCGCCCCCCCACCTGATGACCAAGGCTCAGCCTGTTCCCAGCTAATGATCCCGGAGCAGGGAGAGTCCCAAAACCGCACTCATGGAATGGAGTCCGAGTGTCCCAGACCGAGAGCTGACTGGGCTGGGGGCGGGGGTCAAGCCCTGGGAGCGTGACCACCTGGAGCGAGATGACCCGGAGCAAAAGAGATCCGGAAACAAAAGGGCCCATCTTCCAGAGGGTCCTCACCTATATACTGGGCATGACGTGTATGTTATGGAATAGATTATTGGCCACTCTGGGTCTCAATCCCAAACCCAAGATCAAATCCTGGGCTAGTAACTGGGGCTGTGCTCCCTCCCAGCTTCTCCTGTCTGCAGACAGCCAGAGAAGCTGAAAGACCTTGGCAGCCACATAAACATCACTTTATATCAGCTTTCTTCTGAGCACAAATCCAAAACACAGCCTCTTCCTAGCTATTATAAAGAAAGTTAACTCTGTCTCAGCTTAACTCAGGACACCATGTACAACACAAGTTGAAGATTTAGAGAAACAGAGAGCCTTATCTTCTCAATTAAAGGAAACACACACTGAAACAGCTTAATAATGTTAGAGCTTTCCCTGTTAACTGCTCAAAACACAGCTGTCCACCAGGTTCTGAAATGGCATCAAATGCAACAGATAATGTCTGTTTTGACTATGCAGCAATCTGTACAGGAATCCTGACTGACATGTCTTGGCTTGATTTAGAATGAGTCAAGACTATCACTTAATTTTCAAAACCCCATATTGGTATTAAAATGTAAATTTATGAGCTACAATTCTACCTTTAAATTTTTTATAAAATATACAGAAAGAAACACACATAAAATATTTGATAACAAAAAAATAAGTTTCAGAAATTCTTTTAGTCTTCAACCCTAAAAGATTTAGCAAAGTTCCTCATTTATTTCTTAAATGAAAGGTAGAGAGAGAAACAGAAACAAATTTATGCTTGTGCTGGTTTTGGCTGGGATAGTTAATTTTCTTCACAGTAGCTAGCATGGGGCTATGTTTTGGATTTGTGCTGAACAGAGTGTTGATAACAAAGGGATGTTTTGGTTACTGCTGAGCAGTGCTTACACAGAGCCAAGGCCTCTTCTGCTTCTCACACCACGCCACCAGTGAGCAGGCTGGCAGTGCACAAGAAGCGGGGAGGGGACACAGCTGGGACAGCTGACCCCAACTGACCGGAGGCATATTCCATACCATAAGACACCAGGCTCAGTGTATGAAGCTGGGGGAAAAAGAAGGAGGAGGGGCATGTCCGGAGTTATGGCATTTGTCTTCCCAAGTCACGACTACGCATGACAGAGCCCTGCTTTCCTGGAGATGGCTCAACATCTGCCTGCCCATGGGAAGCAGTGAATGAATTCCTTGTTTTCCTTTTCTTGCATGCACAGCTTTTGTTTTACCTATTAAACTGTCTTTATCTCAGTCCATGAGTTTTCTCACTTTTACTCTTCAGATTCTCTCCCTCATCCCACTGCTGGGGAGTGAGTGAGCTGTTGTGTGCAGCTTATGCCAGCTGGGGTTAAACCATGGTATCAGCTTTAGCTCTACAACGCTAGCATGAGTATACTGAACTTCTAACCTCTTTTTCTTCACTAAGGTAAGCAATTAAAACTTAACTGACACATGAATGGCTCTATTGGACACTTTCACATTTTCACACATTTCCAAATTCAAATTTAAAAAGCATTTGAAATTTTGCTACTTCATAAATGTTGTAAGAAAGCTAATATAATTTTAAGTAATGGAACCCCTTACAAAGCTTTATTCTTACCAAACATAGAGAGCAATAAAAAGCTGATTACTCATTAAGAATATTAACTCTACTAATCTATGTATACACCTCAACTATAGATGCCTCAACTTCATTATTCTCAATTTTAACAGGAAATCTTAAAACAAAGCTAGTGGTTCTACTAGAATGTCTTCAAACTCTTAAGAAATGTACTAACATTTCTGTCTTGGCTTTGCTTCCTGTCAGATCCAGACCTTAAAGTATAATTACTACAGGACCTAATTTTAATATTATAATCAACCCAAATTAGGACACTGGTTTTTTGAAATATCCATGTTCTATGCTTTCACCAGTTCAAGAGTACCCTAAAAAAATAATTAGGTTCTATTATTCTTAATCTATCTGGAGTAAAAATATAACAGAAATAAAAACAAAATATAATTTTTGTTATAAAATATTCTTATTTGCTTAAACTATCAAACAGTTACTACTCTGGAATTGATCTTTTTATGAAAAGTCAGAATTTTTTTTCATAATTCTGGTTTTTTAGATATCCAAACACCACTAACCATCTCCATTCCTGCAGAAAGAAACATGTATAGATGGTTTGACGAATCTTTTCATATTTTATCGCAGTTTTTCAAAAAACATATTTTACCTTACTAGAGTTAGCACTTCTAGATTTTCCAGACTCCGAGTCACTTTTAGAGTCTGATTCTGACTTGGAGTCTGAAGAACTTTCTTCTGATGAATTGGACTCTGTATCAGAGGAACTGGATGTGCTTCTTTTTTTGGAGCTTCCCATTGCTTTCTTTTTAATATCCTCTGAATCACTACATATTGAAAAAAAAATGAGGAGACATGTAAAACCACCAAAGGAATATGCTTAGGTAGTATCCTACGTTAACATTTTAAAGTTTTACTATGTGAGTTTTAAGTCAGTATTTTTTAATGATAAAAAACTTAGCTAAGATGGCAGAAGTAGTAGCTTATTTAAGCGCACACAAAATCGTCCTATCACAATAAACAATAAATCATCACACATAATCTAAAGCAGTGAAACAGCCAAACAAAAATGTGAACATATTAAATATTAAAAATATTATTTCCATGCACCAAGCTCGCGACATTTCAGAAAGAAATCCAGATACCCTTTTATACAAATATAGGGACTTTCAGACTACTCCACCTATGATTAACAACATCTTGATGGGTTATGTTTTTGCAAAGTAATTGAAGTATTAAAAAAAAAACCAATACATTGAATTTATTCCTTTGTTAATCCTTCTAAATCAAACCACCTAGAAATACGACCTATAATACCTACAAATATTTCAACCCATTAACAAGTTCATGCAGAAGAGCTATTACATTCTGACACCTTTGGTCAAACTGAGTACTTTACAGCTAATGGACTTCAGAGACACTATTCTTCACACAGTAAAGTTCTGTTCATCCTGGCAATGTTGGATTACATTGCTCTATGTTACAGCTACTGAAATAATTCTAAAATCTGCCTTGTTCGCTTTGATAACTACCAATTAGTAGATTACCCCTTTTGTTTCAGGAGGAGTTACTACCTAGAAATATGACAGGAAATTAAAATTGTTATCTAATAGTTAACATGGAGCAGATAAATAGTATCACTCACATAAATAAAAAAACCACCTCTGTTCTTGGATCTTCAGGCAACCATTTTACACTTCCAAATCAGGTGTTTTATACACTATCTGATTCAGCTTCTTATTCCAAGGCAATAAATTGGTTACTGAAGTGCTTGAAGTGTAACAAGGTCAACAATAATTAAAAAAATCCAGACCACTTAACTATTAAGAGTCCTTTTGGACTCAAACTAAAATTATTACATATTTTTGCTTAGCTTTAGAAGCAATATAGAAGAATGTATTAGGCTACATTCCTGTTTGAGATAGCAATGTTTTTTGAAGGGAAAAAATACAGAGAAGGGGAATTGAAAAATCTAATGTGAAGGAAAGGAAAATAGTTAGGGGCAATGCCTTCTTCCTACCAAGAACTTCCCAGGACTGAATTGCCTAAATCAAATTTATCAAAACTATTAAAAATCAATATGAACATTTAAGCCATGCTAATAATGCCTACACATGTAAATTAAGTTGAAATCAATCCCCCAAATTTTAGTCAAAAGGATTTTTTTCTCAAAGCCTGAAGCTTGCAAAGCTAAAAATGAAACAAGGGCACACTTCAAAAAAAAAAAAAGTCTAACATAGCATACTTGATGGTTAAAACCAAATTGAAAAAATAGGTACCCTCAAAATTACATTTCAGTATGACAATATTTAAAAACTTGTTTGAGCTCTATGAGCTAAACACGAAAAAATCACTAACGTGTACTGTTTAAAGCTTCTTCTTCATGATGTATAACAGAGGTACTGACAAAATTATCTACATTTCCATAATTGCCATTGAACAGAGGCTGTAGATGCATCAATAAATAAGTTATTGTGAACTCATTATATAAATGGAGTAAGTTGTTTTTCAACAACTTATCCTTAGCTTATCTTTAAAACTAGATTTGAAGATTAAAAATGTTACTTTGTTGTACATCAACCAGTTTTGATGGGTAATCATTGTTTACCTTACTGCTTAACATTTCAGATGTTATTCTAATGAAAAGAATTTACTGGTAACTAGCTTTTTAACTTTGCGATGATGAAAAGCCTGTATTAATTTAACCTACAGATTTCATTTGTTCTGAACAGGAAAAACAATATAAATCACTTTTAAAATCATTAAATCCTGACTTAAATTAATAAAGTCATAATTAGGGCATTATGCTGTGTTTGTTATGGAAGTGGCAAGGCGAGCTGCTTTAATTACTGTCTGTAATAAAAGGAGCAGAGTGCGTACTGCACCCCAATCAGTGCTGTCAGCCACGACTGAGCTGAGCTTCAAACTCATCAAGTGAGCTGGCAGCAGACTACAGAGTAAAAGGCGATGATGTCTGCAGAGGCCACTTGCTGACAGCAGTGGAAGAAACAGATTCATACAATCCAAGGTATTAGCCCCAATTACTCAAAATTTTAATGAGACTTTAATACATGATAATGCTGTTGATAATGGGCAATCTTAAGAAGCGCTAACACTTAAATATCTTATGACCGTTTCCCTTCACAGCCCTTGCCTCTAATATTTGGACCATAATCTTTTTAATATAACATTATTTAGAAAAATCAATTGTCTTAGTTACATAATGGCAAAGTGTTGAAGGACTTAATTTTAGCTCTCAGCAAAATTGCTGCAAAAGGTAATTAAGTGTTTCACACAACTGTTTGATCACTTATTCAGCCTCCCAAGGTTACATCAATTTTCAAGCACCACCCAAGACTTTACTGAAGTCAGAAATTAATTCCAAACATAAGAGTAGTCTGATTAATGAAAACATGAACCCAGTTTATACACTGATTATTACTGGCATACACTGAAACAGCAGACATCACTCTTTGGCCAATACACCCCAAAAAAAGCCTAATTAAAGGCTTAGCAGATTGTTCACAGTAAGAGTGTTTTAACAGCTAGTATCACAAAAAATTAAAAACATACAAATGTATACCTACCTGTCATCAGCAGCTCTAGATGTTTTCTTTGCAGTACTTTCTTTGCTGTCTGATTCATTGTCACTTGATTCTTCACTGGAAGAGGAACTCCCACTACTCTCACCACTGCTGTCTTCCTCATCTTCCTTCTCACTTTCACTGCTAGACTCCCTCTCTGAAATAAAAACAACTCTTACAATTTTTTTTCTAAATATGTTACATAATTAGTATTTTAGGAATCCAAGTTTGTTTTAAATAAAACAATGTTGTAGTATTTTAAGATCCAATTGCAAGCTTTAACATCATCTACTCTTTATCAAAAGCAGGCAAGAAAATTAACCTTCCCCTAAAGTTTATAAAATTTTATTGGTTAAAGACCTGCCCTCTTCAGCCTACAGTATTATCAAATTTCTCAAATTAGAAAGGCCAATAATAAATTAATTGTATGTAGATTCCTCAAAATTACATAACCCTGTCAGGAGCTGGACATGACCTCAACTTCTCTAATCTACACATTCACTTAACTACAAGATTATCTTTTCAACCAATTGCTTACCTAGATATATGTTCTTGAATACTGATAGTGATGATAATTGAATCACTGATTTAAACAAATTATTCATCCTCTAAATAATCATATATTTAGCAAATATTCAAATATCTGAAGTAAATATATTCTTTTCTTCCTTCAGAGATATTAATTTCAGTGATACAATTGTTAAGAACTTCTGCATATCTCCTCAGTTTAGGAATATGAAGGAAATAGCACCACATTCAGACTTTAAGGTGCCCCTCTTCCATTCAGCTAGACCCTGATAATTCTTATAAGTCTCTAATACTATACATTGTCTGTGTCTGAAGTCTGGACCTGGGAGCGTGATGTTCTTCACTACCTCTGAACTATACTAATATCTACTGAAAGAGCTGTCTTGGGGAACTGCCTATCTGGCGTTAAGTGGGATACTGGTCAAAAGAACCCTTGCTTGCTGAACTTGATAGGCAGCTGTCAGTTGTATTCTCCATCGTCACCCCATTATAGTAAATAGAAAACATGGTGTAGAACTTAAAAGCAATACTGTAACACAATTTACTGAATATATCCCATGAAAGACTACGCAGTTAGACAAGTTTGGCCATTTATCAACACAGCACCACATGCTATCAAAAGAGTACCTCATCAACAATGAATTCCAAAAAACATTCAAGACTTACAGTTCCTAACTACCAAACATATGGGCACTCTTCTTGCAAAAAGTTAAGTGCATTTAGTTTTAACTGGAGTTACAAACTCTCACTAGTCTTTTAGACTCAAAACAGGATGAAAATAGCATGCCATCTTTTTTTAAATGGGAAGCAAAGCAAAGTCCAACTCATTTAATAAACACAAAAGCCCTATCTGTAAAATCAGCAGTTACTGCGCAGCTACAGTGAAAATCCTCCTGATTTATACATAGTTCTGTCGTTTTTTGAAAATTTTTCCCATTCTTTTTAAGTAGTGGCCAGTACTGAAGATACAGTTCTCCAGGCAGTGGAGATGCAAGTTAGTTTCCAAACACTTACCTGATGCACTGGTACTGGCAGACTCATCTTCCTCCTCTTCCGAAAAAGAACTTTTCAGTAGGTTTCTCTTTCTTCGTCTTACCTAGAATTCCAGTCCATTCCTTTGCCTGTAAATAAATTTCAATGGAAGTTTACTTTTACACAACCAGCAATACAAATATATAAACACACAACACTGCAAAGAAGAACACTTGCAGCAGTAGTCTTAAGCAGTTTCTAAATAAGTCCTCTAATCAAGTCAAGAGAAACTATTAAACTTCTCTTACTTCACACAATTAGAAGAAAAACAAGTTTTGTATAAACCTATAAAGGGGTGATATAAGAGAGTCTAGGAAAAGATTCACCAAGGCCAATTAAAAGCATCAATAACCATAAATAAATTTCTATGCTAAAAGAACCTGAAGTCTGAGAGACTCTAGATCCAGTTGAGCCTATGACTAGAATGAAGGGTAAATATAGCCAGTCACCACCTTTATCATTCCAAGTTTTAAGGGGAGAACAGATGTGGACGCAGTAGGCAGCAGAAGTTCCAGTAGCCACAGAGGAATCATGTTTCACTTCCTTTGCAATTCTCCAAATAAAAGTAATTCTTACCACCAAGAAAACACCAGAACATGGCAATAATTCTGTCAGGATTTTTTTTCCTTCCATATCTCCCTATCCTACTAGAGAAGCAGAAGGAAAACTGAGGCTGGGAAAAAAACAAATATGCAGACAACTGTATCAGCAGAGCAACACAGGTCTGCCCCAGTGACTGCTCTTACCCGGAATGAGACTAGATTTTGAAAGAGCTCTAATGGTGGCCTGCAATGCTGTATGGCTCTACAGACACACTGGCTCTCTCTCAAACAGCAAAAGCTGATAAAGCTTTGTAACATCCCACCCAGCACTGGTATTTTAAGAAGTCAATATTATCTTGGATATAAATGATGATTTATATGGACTGAAGCTTAACAACTTAGCTTCACTCACATACATTGTGTAGGCACATGCAGTATTAGAGGAACCACAAAATTAAAGACAATGAGGCACTCTCCAAAGAAAATACCTGCAAAAAAAATATGGGAAAAGGATTTTCATGTTTGTTTTGAGGTTTAAATGGTTGGAAGGAGATGTTTTCTATTATGTTGCAGATGGATGTTGCTTCATTTAATCAATTTCCTGCAATACCTTTTGTTTTTATGGACAAAGGTGCCTCTTTCATGCTAATCCCTCACTAGAGCTGATTGTCTTCAAATTATCCCCATGAAAGCTTTCAGAAGTTTGCATACAAATACCTCTTTTCCCCGAAATGTATGTAAGAAGGTAGACAAATAATATTAAAGTACTAAGGAGAAATGCTTGTTCTACCCCACTTCTGTTCACTGGCTTCTGCAAGTCACATCTATTTTTTAGAATTTTCTCTACCCACCCCATGCCTAACATCTTAGATGCAAATCAATTCATGTGCAATTTACTCTAGAAGTTGTCTGATGACAAGAACCATGTGCTTTTCTGGTTGTACCAGTTAAAACGACATACCTCCAGGCGCACCATCAGCGCACTATATTCCAATACATCTATGTTTCTGTTACTGTTCAATAGCTTTCACTGACATTTACTAGGACTCTGGTACCTGATGCATAAATCACAATTCTGGTACCAGAACATGACTTTGCCTCAAAGTTTACAATGCTGGACCAAAAAGCTACTGGTAGTAGAAGACCAGCCCTGTAATATCAACAAACTATTAGTGCACCAATAGATGACACTATAAACTTTCCTAATTCTCTCCAAATAATCTGAAATGTAAACCTTGGTCTCTTCCAAATTTTACACTTTGAAATGTACATATTTTTTCCCATGCTGCTGCCTTTTGTTTATATTACCTATTTTTTTTCTGTTTAGGCTTGGATTTCTATACGAACAAACCTCTGCTCACCTCCTACTTCAGTAGTCCAGCTACACTCATCATTAACAGCAATCAACATACTGCAGCACAGCAGATATACGAGGTACGAAATCAAGAACAGGGAAAAAAGCCCATTTAATCCATGAAAAAAGCAGAAGTGGCCTATACTTGATCCACTTCTCTCATTGAAAAGAAAAAAGCAAGCATTGTGGATGTTTCCAAATGTTCTACTTCCAAGCTACAATAAGCAACATGGATGTTCACATGCATTAACGTTTTTCAGTAAAGCATACATAGAGTATTTCAATACTTGTATTTTAGGCTAATATTCTATATCAGTGAGTGCCTTCAGCTAAGTTACTTTTAAGGACACTGACGTACCGACTCAGCTACGTCGACGTTTCGGACTGAGGGGTCAGGCGCCACCTCTGGCCAGTCGGACAGCTCCAGGTAGCCAGTGGCTCGGCTGTTCAGCGTGTGAGACAGGGTGCCAAGCTGGAAATGATCCCGATCTATTAAAAAAAGGGGGAAGGGGAGAGATACACAAACACCATGAGCTCTTCCACAAAGAGTGATCTTAATCAGGGCTAAAGGTAATCGCCATTATATTACCTCAAATGTCACGGAATAAATATAAACTAGGAAGCTCTTCATAGGTCAAAAAACTGATTTCAGTCCATAGATTACAATAATCTCCCCCATAATGGTCAATAAAAAAGCTAATCAGTCAGTGTGTTTAGAGGTGTTGCTCTGAAATGTAGCTTCTCTAAAAATTACTTTACTGTGAATATTAAGAATGACAGCACAGTTAAACAATCCATATACATGTCTTGGCACAAACACATCCAGAATTTTAATAGTTTTTCTTCAAAATGGAGCTCTTTTTAGACCTTCAAAACTGTGACTAAGTAAGTATGAAAACTAAAACTGCCAATAGTCACATTAACAGAGCATTTTTAATTAAGATAACCTGATAACCTTTTAATTTGAGAAGACAGACAAGGGTTCTTACTTGTAAAAAGATGGGGAAAAAGCATAGAGAAAATTATGACTTTGGAGAAAAATAATAAAAATCTAATCTATTTGCATTCAGTTTATTTCAGATTCAAAAAACATTTGCAATACTCACATTAACAATCTTCTATTAAAGTCCAGATAAAAGACTAGAGCTATTTTCCTAAATAGAAGAATAGTTTTCCTCAAAAGACACACCTTCTGTTATTTAAATCAAATTTAAAATCCACATGAATAGAAATGGATCTGTGTGTCAGGGTTTATCATCAGACAAATGCACTGTGTTTGCACCATGCAAACCTTGCTTGCTGAAAAGGAAGTAAGCAGAGAAAGTACCCTTGCATATTAATCATTTCTATTTGCTAAGTGACAAAATTTGTGAGCGTATTTGAAATAGAATAGGCTGACACATTTCTCTACACAATGAGCATTTACCAAATGATTTTGGCAGTTATACCTTTAAAAGGAGACTCAAGCAGCGGGGCAGGTTTCTGTGCCAGAAATATTTTTTTGGCATATTTGCTTAAAGCTCCACTCTTCTCATTCGGAACAATAAGCTGCCTAATAAATCTTGTACGGTCTCTGATGTCGTAGCTTTGATCATACTTGCTGAGATTTAATACATACTGGGTAAGCAATTTTGTCTGTGGAAAAAAACAGGACAAGAACAGAATACAAGTTATTTATGATTATTGATAACTCTGGATAAACATATTTAAAGAGGTAATAAAAATGAATGGTTATGTCAAACAAATGTTGTTCCACAGGGAATATGCATTTCTAAAGCTGCAAATGGAATTCTGAAGCCAAAGCACATGTCCTCTTCTGTATTGGGGAGGTGAATGCTGAGTACTGAGAAGCAGCCATGTGCTAGATTATTAAACTGCTGAAGTGGAAAGAAAGGCATCATTAAAAAAATAATCATATATGGCAAACCCGCTGAAGGGTCTACGTGAGGATAATGAATGTGGAAATACAACTAAAAACATGGCACTCAAAACTTAATCGGAAAAATATGCAGGACATCAAAACATCAGAGGGTATTAGGGGGCTGGCAAACTGCTTCTGCTGAGGTGTGTTTTATGAAGAGATACTGTCCCTGGCATAAGAAGTGTCTGCACTCTGACTGCACTCAGTTACTTTATCCTGAATTATGACCCATTAAAGCAGACACATGAATCACTGAACTGGATTACTGCAAATTATTTGCAGTGCATTTAGCTGTTACTTTTTCATAAAAGCAAGCTGCTGATGCCCTCTAAAAACCAGGATAAAAGACTTCTTCCATTTTTTCTTGAAGCTTAAAGCCTCCAGTAATATTGGTCATTCATTTATTTATGTAAGAGAACAACTTATATTATCACAGCTTTTTACAGCATAATAGGACTTCCTAATTTGATGTCTGAGAATATTAACACGTATTAAATAATTTTAATAATTCAGTTAGATTTTCAAAACTAAAAAAGACAACAAAACAAAAAAAACCCCATGGAAACATCACCAGTATCTTAGAAATACTGTAGTGTAATCAGAACAATAGTGCTGAACAGACTTCTATCCGTTAGATACATTGGAAAGAAGCATGCCACTTTCTTTATACACAAGCAAACAGAAAAAAGAACAAAAATAATATACCATCATAAGGAAGTAAATTTTTAGTATTTCAACTCAGAATGGATGAATAATACAGGGTTAAAAATGTATTGTCAATGAGGATTTATTTTCTTTATGCAAAGAAGCAACCTTGCATATATATCTTATTTATCATGCCAGTGTTGTAACAATAACAGTTTCAATCACGTGAGTGTAAAAATATGTAAAAAAAAAAAAAAAACAGTCCCTTTTGTTATGTGCGATTTGCTAAGAAAAGTTCAGTTTAATAATTTGCACCTTGAGGATGCAAGTGAAAGTTTTTTCTAGAGATACAAAAAGACTTTTCCAGAATATTGATTAACTCCTATAAGTGAAACACACAGTAAACAAAAATTGGTTTTACTTTTAACCACATACAATGCAACATATGCAAGCATTTCACAAAATACCATATCGTACCAAAGATTTAAAGAAATTAGTCATATTTACATTAGAATGATAGTAAAAGCATAGTTAAAAAAACCTTTCAGTGAAACACTTTTAATTTATTTTTTCTCTCTGATACCCAAGGATGGTTCTGTGAAAAGATATTTTTTTCCCCCAGAAGATATTGTCTCAGCTCCAGGAAAGGTAAAACTTTCCCACACCTCTTTCACAGCTTATTGGAAGTTATTTCTATATCAGGGTCTAAAATTTTGAACAACTGCATCAGACAGAATATACGTAATATGCACTCAAGCAGGACTTATGCTGTTCAATCTAAATGGAATTAGAAGGGAGGGTTCCCAGGTAGCATGAATTAAACTAAATGAGGGATACCTCCTACAGCCTTTGCCATCACTTTCCCTCTGTAAAACAAAACAAGACTCCTTGCTGTGATGGCAGAAAGTGCATCAGAACATATAAAACACAGTGGTCTTTGCTTGTAAATTGCTATAGAGATGGGAAAAGTTGGGGGCCTTGCTATCATGGTGGGCACATGTGACGGAATTACACAAAAGAGTTGAAGGGCTGCATTTTCTTTAATGGGACCATTTCCTCCATTATTGTTTCCCTCTTCCTCTTCCCTTCCCCCTCCCCTAGACTATCTTTTCCATATCATCCAATACAGATAAAGACACAGAAAATTTATATGGAAGAATACTCCATATCTGCAAGAAGTCTGCTTGCAAGCGTCACATATAGTATAAATAGTTTTCCTGAAAACAGCAAGAAAAGGCTATTTTTTTTCTTGTCTTATGGCAATGCAACCAAACAGGTAGTGAAGCTTTTCTACATGGAGGTAGCTAATAGAAACAATTAATTTTAATTAAAAACAAAAAAAACCCTAATGAATCCACAACAGTTTTTCCAACAAAGGAACATCCATAAGAAGCTGAAAATTATTTGAGTGATGACGTTAATTTGGTGAAATATGTCAGAAGCTGTACACCATGACTGCTTCATAGAACAGTAAGACAAAGTATTCTGACATATGATCTAAAACATTTGTTATCATATGTCAGCATTGCCTGTTGTCCAGACATGCTCATTATACAGGCTTAACATAACTTCTTTTATCCTCAAGCTGTTAGAACCTATTACTATTGTTTGTACATTTTGGTTTGGGTAATACAAAAAGTACACTTCAAATCATCCTTCAGCAATATTTCTAGTGGCAATAGTTCTATTCAAGAATTTAATGCCTATCCTATATTAGCAGCAATTAACCTTTTGCTATATCTCCTGAAAAAATTTATAATACAAGTATCACCAACAGATGAAGCTTTATAACGGGAGAGAAACAGCTATCTGTCCACTCTTTGATATCATTAGCTTGCAGTAACTCAATTCTTTAAATACCTAACATAATGCTATCGTGCTAAACCACACTTGACATTATCTATTTACACACTAGGACTACTTAGGACTTTCTCTGGTGGGACTCCTATGTTACACAACAGAAACACATCAAAATCTCTTTTTTGGGAGAAAACTGATAAAGGATTCAAAAAAGTGTTATGTGGGTAGGCTACAGAGGGAGAAAACATAGGCATAAAGAGAGATGGAGAGACTGACAAGTGAGCAGTGAAGTGTACAAGCTTCCCCTTCAAGTTTGAGAAATTAGACTGAAAAATGGGTGGACTTTTAGGAACTGAAGTAATTTCAGAAAGAAAGGTTTTAATACTGGTAAGCAAAGAAGAGTCACTCCTGGGAATAAGGATGTAGATACGGGAAGAGTGTTGCCAGCTCCTAAAGGCAAACCCAACATATTCTACTTTGGAAGGAGCTTTGAATCAAGCCAGGTCATCAACCTACTCTGTTCAAATTTTGTATATGAATAGCTTGACCACTTGAGAAGACAACTTATTTTTCCACAGCCTAAAACTAAAATAGGAAAACACCCTTTGATGAAATTCATCATTTAGTAGGCATTTCACGAGACAGTTTCTTCTGCTTTATCATCACTATCGTATTTGAAATAACGGATATGCAACACTTAGAATGATGGTTTAAAATTTATTAAGATGTGAAACTGGGAAAAGAGCATCACAGAAACAATAACCTCCTTGTAGGCAATGGATTTTTGGCCAAACACGGTGTGGAAAAATTAGTGTAAAATTACAAAAATTATATGATAAATCAATAAATATCACGTAGTTAGCCAAAAGGAGACACTTCAGACAATCAAACAAATCTTTCCTCAGCTCAGCCAGCACTTTCATTAAGATGGGCACTGACAGAAAGAAGTCACCTTTTGTTACTGTCCCATTTTAGACTGTATATGCAAAGGACAAGCATTTATTCTTAACTGAATGCATGGCAAGACACTTCATCTCCCACATGCCCTACAGAATAAAGTCTCAGACAAATCAAGTCTGCAGCTGGATATAGCTATCAAGGACTGAGACGACACCACAGTTAGAGTTACATGATCCCGTGCTGTTCAAGCTGTTGTAAAACAAAGAGGTCTAGCAGCCCAAGAAAGTGTATACATCTCAGATAATATATTTCTTCTACATTTGTAAAAAAAAAAAATCTTTGATTTTAAAACCTTTTACAGTAATAATTGGAATTACAGTGGAAAATGTGGTCAAGATGCTATATTCCATAGCCAGAGAGTGACAAAGTTCACAGTGTTATCATTGAGAAGAATGAGGCAGCTGGCACCTCTCACAGCTATTGTTTTCAGATGCCTGGAGATCTAAGTTCACCTTTTTGTACTATCTGACATTTTTAGATTATCTCTATTACTAGAGATGATCAAATCCCACCACCTCCACAAGACAAAGTGAAATATTAAGAAACAGAGAAAAATGGAAAGCAGTTACTATCTTTAAGATGAACACTGATGGAAGGACATAACAAGGCCTTTTGCTGTTATTTCCTTTTAGATATCCTGAAGAAAAAAATAGTATCTTCTTGTTCAAATTGACAGTACTCCCTTGAAAATTCTGGTCTTAGATCCAGAAGACAGCAACTCACATCTGGAAGATCTCCAATCTGAATTAGTAATACAATTCACAAATGGTTCCTATTTATGTGAATTTAAAAAATCCACAATTTCCCCAAGAAAGAAAGAGGCAAGAGTGACCTCATCACTACATTAATACATTCATAGAATCCAACACATATTCAAAGTTAGATTTAGTCTGTTAGATTTCTTGAAAACTGATGTACAGCTTTCCTTTGTAGAATAGTATGGACTACTTTTGGTTACCTATATAAAAGAAATCACCATTGATCTACACAGACTGTACAAAACCTACTGTGACTCTACATATGTACACTTCTGAGTTTAAGCTTACCTGCTTCGAGTTTGTTAAATAGAGTTTTGCACCCAAATTTAGGATCTGCAACTTTACAAGGTCATCTTCATTAGTGAAGCTCTTCGCTGTCTTTCTCAAAACATCAGGTGCAATCTTTGGAACTCGTTCACAGTACTCGCCGATGAGCCAGAGAATGCTGGCTCTGGCTACTGGAACCTGAGAAAACATTGAGCACTGAGTTAACACATTCACAAGGACTACTTGCATACTTGTACATGTCTGTTTTCAGCAGTAAGTTAAACAAAATACTGTTTAAAGACAATTGCCAAGCAAGAAATAAAGAGCCAAATTAAATACTGTTTAATGCATCCACTGTGGCAGATTGAATACTCATACAAACGTGAGACACAGATCCTGTCCCATACCCCGTGCATTACAAGTTGACAAAATGAACAGAGCAGAACATAGAAACAACATGTTCATGTTCACAGTACAAGCTCGTGGCCATTGGGAAAAGAATCCAAGTCTTCGAGGTGTGGCTGGGAATTCTTGCCATCAGGTTATGCTAAACACCATGTTGAAACAAAACAGTGCTTTTTTGTGACTATATTCATACAGAAACAGTTCCAGCAATACAGTTCCTTCAGCTCCTGCCTATATGCTTTAAAAGCACAAGAATTTCTTTAAGACTATTGCTGTCTTTCCTCCCTTTTTATTTAAAATTTTATGACAGTAAGACTCATATTTTTGTAAATGTGCAAGGCCAAGAATTCTGGAGAGGCAGGAGTCAAAAATTAGGGTTCTCTATTTCTATTTCCAACGCATTAACTGAAAACACTCTGCCTTAACTGAAAACACTCTGACTGGAAACTTCACCCAGGTCTTACTGTTTTGGAGCTACTTGTCTGCTTCATTGAAACAACCAGCAGCAGCAGTTTTTAGATGAACTCCCAGCATATGGTGCTGACTCCAAAAGCACAGCACTGTCACAGAGAGAGCGGAAGCAAAATGGAAAGCGCAGAAGGAAACAGCGGCTCATGCGGCTCACAGAGTTTAGCCAGAAGTAGTTAGGAGTTAAATTAAATAACATACACATACTCTTCTCAAAGGTGAGCTAGCCTATACTACCTGGTGGTCAAATTAAAAATTGCATCTGTGTTACGAACCTCCCTGAAAACACTGTTCTCCTTCCTTAAGAGAAAGGAAGAAAGCATGCAATGAGAAAGTTCTAGGCAGAAGCATGTCTTGCATAGCATCTACAGTCTGTGGTGCCCTAACATTCTGTACAGACACTTGTTCGAAAGGTTTTGAAATACTAGGGGAAAAATATAACTGCTCTATCCTGTCAAATGATTGCATGTAGTTCAGAAAAAGGAAAGCTTCCAACAGTAACTGCAATTTCAGCTAATTTTGCTGGTTTTTAAAAAAAGTAAAAAACTTTGTACTAACACTTTCTATTACTTCCTGCACTATACAGTTACCTTTTTTAATAAGCTTACACTTAAGACAGTGTGAGTTCTCCCTCAGGTAAGATTCTTAGGAAAAACAAGCTTAAGAAATTTAGCATTTTCATTCTCAAAGCACTAATTCTTAGCATCTTTTATATATGTTTTAATTATTTTTCCAGCATATGTCAGTTATTCATATATTAATATCTATTTCTCAGAATTACAGTGGGAACCAACTATTAGATATCCTGCCCTGTATACACATAAAATTTGAAAGTAGTGCTTTACAGCTACATTCATCAAATGTAAAAAAATTCAAGTAAACTACTAAGGTTCAGGATAGCAATTCCCAAACTATGGTCCACAGTCCTGAATAAATGGCTCACTAAGCCACACTAAAGAAATACTAATTATGCTCACAAGAAATTTTAATGATTAAACATGTTTTACTTGGCCAAAAAGTTTGGCAATTGCTTTGAATAAAGGCAACCTGACAACATCTGCCTCTATACTTCACATTGTTGCAAATACACATGCCAACAAAAATACAAACAGGCAAGTCATAGGGAAAACAGAGAACTGCCTCTGCTGAAAAAGCAAGCAACCAGATAATGGAAAGACAGAATACAGGAGTTCAACAATTAAAAAAAAAAAAATCCCCTCAAGAGATTCTAAACATGGAAAATATATTTAGGATAGAGTTAACATAATGTATTGAGAATGGCATAACACAGTGATTTAATACACATAAATATAAAGTACTGACTGAGCTACAAATGTGTTTTTTTGTGAATTAAAAAAAATATACATGGTCTTCTAGTGTGAGAGAGGGAAACAAGCTACTGAACAACTGCTAAATATAAAAACTTTAAATACAGTCAGAATATGTTCACCTGTGAAACAGCAAGACTGATGCCATTACTGTACACTGATTTCAGAAGGGAATTTCTAATGTTCCAAAGGTTACACTGCATTAAGACCTCACTCTCAATCTATTACTTTAAATTGGGCTAAAAAATAGTAATTAAGTGGTACATTAAATTTTCCAGTATTGGAGCAGTTCAAGTTGCCTGCTGTAGAGATAGATACTTCTAAATAAGAATATATAAGCAACTTCAGATCTCAGTTATGCTAGATTTATTTTTCTAAAATATTTCATTACAGACTTGTTAAAATATTAGAATTCTACAAGCGATTGCCAAGTATCACAGTTTGGACAGGAGCCCATTAGAAACATCCTTTTCCCTACTACTGTCTTTTCATAAAGCAAAAGTAGCTCACAGAGAACAGCAATTTCAGTAATAGTATTAATGACGAAAGACAAATATCAGTATTGTACTTTTCTAGTCAAATCCAGAACCACACTTTAAAACCACAATGAAATATATTTAAATATATTTAAACAGTGTGCGTTTAAGCACAGTGCTTTACTCTTTAAAGTTTTTTCCCCAGTTTGTAAAATGTAATTATTAGAGTAATAAACTAGTTTTAGAATGTAAAATGAATAGGCTAAACAAAGCTTAATTTGAAAAACAGTGACAACAGAAGACAGATGAAAAATGTTGTGAGACTTTGCCTTTCAACTAGGTTGCTAGCTTCCTATGTAAATAGTGTATATATTAAACACAATTTTGTGCAACAAGAGTCAATATCAATTAAAGACTTTTTGAATCAAACCCTGAGTGGAAGCCATTTTAATGAAACGTATGTCGAACTGATGAACCCAGTGTTTCTGTGTCACTGGATTCATTTGGGGTCAAAACGACACAATATTTTCATACTTCTTTTTCTCTGTTTAAGTCTTCCAGTCCTCAACCATGTACTATCAAGTGAATGATCCTGCAGCCATTGTTTCCAGGGCATTCAAAACAGCAAACAAGAAATGAAGCCAGTTCCAGATCTTCACTGCCTTTTCCAGTATAGCTTAAATAGGGACCTTGAATTGATAAAAATGCAGGAAATAATACCTCCATTATTCAGCCCTGTTCTGCATTATCCCCAAAGGCAAACAGGATTGTAAATTACTTTGCCTGACGTTTTATTCTATATGCCCTGAGCAAGTGGTTAAGTGCACTTTTTACGCCTTAGTACCAGAAGGCAGCTTCTACTGCCATTTTAACCCATTACCTGTCTGAAGGAAAATAAATAAATGGTTAAAACCTAAAAAAATAAAAACCAGCCAGATCCTCTCCACTCAAAGCAAGACTCTGGTTACTTACATTAGTTAAAGACATTATACAGATTTTACAGATCACTCTAAGAAGCACAATTAAAAAACTATTGTAGTTCAGCTTTACCTTATTACACAACATACTAGGCTAAAATACAGCTTAAAATTGCCAATTCTGGTTATCCATAGTTGTCACAAAACAAGGAGATGATCAAATTGCAAAAGTGAAATGGACCTAGTCCTAAGATTTACTGCAAATGGGAGTCAGTGGTCTACAAGAGCTCAGCAGTTTTTAATTGAACTTACTAATATTTCATATAGTCGGTCAGCTATATTTAGGTTACTACCCATCCTATCACTTTCTAAGTGGCTTCTGTAGATGAAGAAGATGAAGACAAGAATGAAGACAAGATGAAGACAAGAATGAGTAAATTTCAGATTGGATGACCTGAAAGAAACATTGCTATTAAATATTTGTAGGGACCTCATCACCGACAATCACAATCTCAGGCTAACAGAAGTGAAATATATAACATGAATGACAAATTCAGGCACTAACACAAAAATGTACTGCATTCAGTTTATACCAATTTTGTTTATTTTAGTGGCCAACTGTTCCCCATTTACTTAAACTACATCATGACAGAACAATCAAAAAGTTTATTTTTACCTGAAGTGTTTTTCTATCCAGTTGTATTTAATTCTGTTCATGCTTTTGCTTGTGCTTTACATAGTATTAAATTAATTTCAACTCTAAGAAGCATCAAATAATTTATTTGCCCACACTGCCCCACACTCCAGTTACTTTCAACTTCATTCAAGACCATATCATTTGCCTACTTCTCCTATGTTCAAATGCATTGACTCCTTTAAAGACAGTGGTATGCTATCGCATAGAAGAATAGGATAGGTCCCTTAAATTTCAATCCTAATTTAAAAATGAGCCCAGAAATACTTTCCCCAACAGAAGAGGTCTGGAAAAAAACCCACCTGTGTAAAATACATGTGTACAAAAGTGTGTATGTATGTATACTGTACGTCAATGTAATAAGGGTCAGGAATCCTTCCTTTGTGTGTCTGTCTTATAGCAGACAAAAACCAAGGCAACTGTGTTATGTCAACTCACAATCATTCTTGCCATAGTAAGATCAATGTTTAAAATACTTGTGCACATCTCAGGAATTCCAGTAATGCTTTACTGAATGTTGACATTTCAAACTCAGATCCTCAGAAATTATATAATCCGAATATAACTTTCCTAAACGTGTAAAAATATGCTTATCTCCTGCGGGGGCTGTGGGATTGGACTAGATGATCTTTGAACGTCCTTTCCAACCCAAACTATCCTGTGATTCTGTGAAGGAACGCATCCATTTTAAAACACAATAGGAAGTTATAGAATAATGATATAGCATTCAAATTATAAATACAAACTTCTTCCAAATTTATCCTCCTTCCAAAGTCCTAAACATACTAATGAAGACAAATTTCTGGAAGTTATTGTTAAAAAATTACAGGGATAAATGTAAAATAAGATGTACAGCAACCATCCTGGAGAACCTAAAGCATCACTATCACTGCCTTCTTCTCGAATATGC